GATACAAGTGACTTACTTTCAGCTGTTTTGTTTATGTTAAAATGTTTCACTGTATTATTTTTACTGTATGTAACTTAATTTAGTGTGTTGGCTTTTTGTAAACCACTTCTATTTTATTAAAAAAAACTGACAGCAGCAAACATGTCTGTCAGTTGTAGATTTGTCCATTCACAAGTGAAGTATGTGTTGATCTAATTTAGACAATAAAAGACGTACGTAGGATGAGTAATGATTCCCTCTCCTCTCACTGCAAGCTTTTCCCTGAGGTGATTCCTCTCCAAACAGGTTACACTATTGGAACTGAGATGGGCCTAGGGACAGATGGCTACAGGTAAAGCCATGGCAAAGTGGAAGATTCAGCATCAACCTATCTTTTAGGCTTTGGATGGCAGACCCATATCTAAAGAAATATATCATCTAGCTTTGCTCTTGACTCTACATCTTCTTTTGAAGACTTTCAATGGGCAACATTATCTAAAATATTAGAAGACTAATTCCTTTCCCAATTCAAAAGAATGTTATTTCAGACAGATTGGTCTTTATGCACATAAAATCAAAACTGATAAACTTTGCTGAAGAAAATTCTGAATTGTATCCTAATTCCAAATGGATGTTAACTCAACTGGAATGGATGTTAACTCAAACTGGGTAGGAAAGCTGGTCTACTTTTAGTTTTACAAAGAAAACACATCATAAGACTGTGATCGCAAAACTAAAGAACAAATTTCTCAGTATATTTAATGACTGCAGTAGAATCTGGTCATGGAATAGAGGAGAGGCAACCCTGGACTTAATTCTAAGATGTGCTAGAAGCACTTAATTCTAGAAGAGCTAGGAGCTAATGTATGATACAAGCACTGAATCGAATAGAAACAACCACCTCAGCTCTATCAGTTTATGTAGGAAATTATCAAAGAAATCTAACATAGCAATATTTAATTGTGGCCAAGTCTGTAGCTTGGAATTATACTTTGACTATGTGCTTTCCTTATATTTCCAGAAAATACAAGTAAAGGTGGCAATTTCAGCTGAGATCTTCCCTAAATCAGACTGACTATTCCAATGTGCTCTACATAAGGCCATATTTGCAGAAAGTCCAAAAATTTTTGATAATGCAAAATGCACTAGATAGTATCTGTATCATAAGATCATATTGCCTTGACTGTGAAAGATATGCACTTTGGATTCAAGGTGCTATATTAACATTAAAATCATAAACAAAACCAGCTTAGAACATAGCTATCTAAAGGACTGCCTCAAAAACCTGTCTGATTATTAAGATCTGTAGAAGACCTTTAGGGGACATCGTTATTCAAAGAATCCTATTTATCTGACATGGGCCTTGCTCCAAATTTTGGAGTATTATCTTTTTCGAGTTAAAATTGATTTCCACTCTAGCTTTGTTTTTTTAAAGGTGATGTATTCTATAAGGGCAAAATGTTAAATATAAATTGTAAAATCAAAACCAAGATGCAACTCTTTAAAATGGCTGTTTAAATTATTTTTAGTGATTTTAATGTTTTATATGGTATTAGGTATTGTTTTTCATACTTTGATTATTGTTATTTTTATCAAATTTATCATATGTTGTAATGTGTGAAAGGGTGATACTGAAAGATTAATCGACAAGGAAACAAAGGAAATCTTTAAAAATTAAGGGTTTGCTCATAAAAAAGTTAAAAAGAAAAATAGAGGGTCAAATATACCAACATTGAAATAACAGATGGTCAACTACAGTATTCATAGTAAACATTAATATTGCAAGTCAGAAAGGACTATTTTGTCCAAGATGTCACCAACCTATTAATGAAGATAAAAGATAAGGAAGATTAGTTGAGAATTGTAACCAAACAAGAGAACAAATAGGAATACAAATCAGCATGAAACAAATGCAAGAGGATTTTTCAGCTGCATGTTGCTAATAAAATTAAGACCAAGAATAGCAAATTTTCTACATACACCCAAAACACCATAAGAGGACTGTTGGATAACAAGGAAATTAAAAAGTACTGAAGGAAAAAAAAAAGACAAACTAAATGAATTTTTTGCATTTATCTTTTCCTGTTTATTTCAGGTATATTAAGGAAAGCATTGTTAAAGATAAAAGTCTCTAGCCTTGATGAAGGTAAATAAATACATAAATAATAGGATAAATACTATAAGCCAAGAAGAAACCTTGACTTATGGTTGTAGGTTATGAAGAGAGAAATAACTCATGGATCCTGCTTGGATTTAACACTCAAGATGGTTGCTTATTTCCTAGCTTGTTTAACTATTTTTTGTTGGCAAAACTAAGCAGAAGTGATCAAGCAGCACGCATCAGTACCCTTCCTTTAGCAAACAATCCAGAATCAACCAAGCCAGTGCATATTCATTGCCTTCATTTGATTTCAGCCATTGTGTTAGTTATATCTTAATAGGATGACAGGCTTTCACCAGGAACCCTTCTATCTTACATGACCAAGCATAGTTGAGATTTGATACTATTTGACATTCAAAACATGTGAACACTGTATCTTGGTTTCTTATCATGATCAGAGAGCAAATGCTTCCTATTTCCATTCATACTTTTCCCCCTCAACATGGAAGTATTTCTAGGGAAAGTGTCACATCTAAAAGACTGTGAGTAATTTAAAAACCAAACTTTTCCCATTTCAGGTTTTTCCCTGCAATAAAACTAATCAATATCCTAAGAGTCCAACAGTTGTTTCATGATGCACCAACACTTCTTAGGTTCCTTCTTCCAATGGTAGTACCTTATTCCATCTGAAAAGTCATACCTGAAAGGATTCTTTAAACCTCCACATTATAGTACCTCTCCCTTAAAAGATGGTGAGCTCTCAGTGCTGATGTCAGAGTCTTGCACTAAGTACTGGATTAGATTAATTCAGTGGTCTTTTCGAAATCAAATATGACTCTATAATTGGTTACAGTTTCTCTCTGGTGCTTTTGCCCACCATATTAAAAATACTTGAACTTAGCATCCTTTCTGCAAAACAAGGCAAGTGTTAGAAGGATGCTCACTTTCTTTTATGATTAGGGTAAGTATAAAAACAAATGAGAAACATATAAAAGTATTCTGAGGTATTATTAATTAATTCCTCTTGGTTATACATGATGGGCATATACTCTTAGTGCACCAAAAAGGTTCCAGTGTTAGATCTTTTATCTTCTCTATACTCTTCCTGGACTTTAGCATGTATTTTATGTTCTTTATCACATATAATGTAAACAACAAGAAACACTGCATTGATGTGGCACACTGATATTATGTACTTATAGGAGTAAAACTATCTTATTATAAATAGTTAATTGCCATAAAGATTGCAAAATTAAATAAGTTCAATACAAAATCCACGGAGGCAATATTTCTATTAGACCAAATGAAGTTGTACAGAACAACTGTAAGCTTGAACGTCAAAAACTCTATCAGGCAATTTGGATGTAGGAAGGGAAGAAAAGGTAGAAAACAATGTGAAAGTTCTTAGAGCAATCCCTGCACCAGTCTACATGGACAATTTAAGAAGGCCCAATAAGGTACTACCTTTATGGATTTTTATTCTGATGATCAATATGGTTAGTACTGCTTTTCATGAGACATCGACAATAATCAACTTAAGCTCTGGTATAGCAGGATTCTACAGACATGAAGGACAGTATAGACACCTGTTGGGACTAATGCTAGAGCATCCATTTCTTCCAACCACAGATAATCATACCCAATTTGGCTTTGACTCACTTTTGTTACAGAAAATAAATGTCCAAATGAAGTTGTACAGAAAGCTTTGTTAACATAAAGGCTAAAGTAGATTTTTCTTGTTCTTCACCAGCTAATACATCTGTATATTTCGATAGAATAGACACAGTTATCTTAACAGCTGGTATTTACATTATCAGAAATTATTAATTTAGAAATCACTTGCTTGCTTCTTACTCCCAGCAAGCTTTGGGAAAGCCTTTACCACAACCTAACACTACTCTGCATCTGATAAAACCCAAGCTGCATACCTAAAAGCTCCCTAGCACACCATCTAGCCTCCTGCTTCCTTACTCTTTCTCCACTCCAACCAATTTTCCTAATTTTCCTTTCTTGAATCTTGAAAGCTTGCAGTGATTTTGTACAAGTTCTGCTGATCTAAATAAAAGCACTGTCTCTATGAACTTGATTTTTTTCTCATGACATCACACCTGTGGCATCAAGATAAATAACCTTTTTTAAAATCAGCGTAGCAATTATGTTCCTCTTGCAGGCTGGTCTAGTACTGATTGTCTTATGAAACTGTAAAGTTTTGTGTTTGAATTTTAAATTTTAGGTAAGATGAAAGCCACATATCACTATGCTAGTTACTATTATTGTTTCATAGTGAAAAGTTTCCTCGACGTGTACGTATGAACTATCAATTTTAATAAAGCATATAGCAGAAGTAAATCCCACTAGGTTTCCTAATAAAAACCACAGGAGAAAGGCACTCAGTTCAATAGACCAATACAGCAACTAATGAATTTACTTCTGCAGTTGTCAAACACCCCAGAAGAAAGAAACTTTGGGTCATAATGTGCTGAGAATGGTTTATACCTTGGACAATCGCTATTCTTTTTCTAAAACTCACACTCTTACCAGCTTCTTATTCCCATACAACACTCTCTAGTAAGTATATAGTATGATTCTGATAAGTCAGACTAAACTGTGAGCTCTTTGTTAGGTGGAAGCTCCTTGAAAAGTTGATGCAAATTCTGGCAGGAAAAAAGAAATGGCATACTGTTCCAGAAAATGCTTTTGGTTAAAAAAAAAAAATCTGTAATAGTAATTTATAAAATTATCTTCTATGAACACATCATATAAGCATTGGCTTTTTAAAATCATTCAAAACAAGTTCTTCCCTGCTTTTCACTTTCAATTACATTAAAGAGGAGAGGGAAAGTCTAAATAATAAATTGTGCAAGGTGCAAGCATACTTTAAAAAAAAACAGAAAAAATAAATCAATTCATGATTACTTACATCAACGACGGAAGAACTTGATAAACTTAAACCTTCTAGGTCTGCTGCTAACATGGGAGAGAGAATAGTTGGTTTGCAAAAGGCAGTTGGAGCTGGTACAGGACTGACTGCAGAAAATAAATAATTAAGAAGAATAATTAAACTGAATTGAATACATATAATAAATAATTAAAATAAGATCATGATTCTATGGTAATTTAAGAATATAAGAGTTCTCCCATATCATTTCACCCATCCAGCCCAGTATTCTATGTCACATAGTATCCAGAAAGCTCACAACCAGAACCTCAGGATACCACTGCTACTCCCTACAAAGTTTTATTTAAGGCTTGCAGTCTGTGATTTACAGCCATCAAGACTGATAGCACTAATAGTCCTCTCTTCCAGTCATTTGATTCCTAAATGCCATCACCACATCTGATAACATTTCCATTGTGCAAATAAATTCTTTTTATTAGTCCTGACTTTATCACATTTAGATTCAGTAACTATACCCAAGTTCTAACATTCTGAGAAAAATTCTATATGACCACATTTTCTGTGCTGTATATGATTTTACACATTTCTATCATACCATCTCTTACCTACTTCTGCTTTAAGCTAAAACACCTTAAATGATGTATCTTTCATTGCAAAGGGGACATTCTACGCTCTAATCATTTTGATTGCCATTTTCTGCATCATTTCCAGCTCTTCACTATGCTTTCCAAGGTATTGTGAACAGAACTGTGCACAGTATTCCAAGTGCAGTTGTATCATATAATGGCATTACATATGGACAGTTTTATTTGGTCTTACATTTCAGGAAGGTGAATTCTAATTGAATGTTAGGAAGAAACTTCCACAGTGAAACTAATTATCTAGAGAGGTGGCAAGCTCCCCTCTGCTGGATATGTTCGAATAGAGCCTGAACAACCACCTGCCAGTGATGATTTAAACTGAATTCCGACATTGAGCAGGGCATTAGTCTCAATGGCCTCTCTTCCAACTGTATAATTTTCACTCTTTTTTGTAATGATGCAATTTTTATATCTCAAAAGCCATATGTATTTTTCTATTGGACACTTGCAAATTTGTAATAAAATTTGTGCTGATAATGCTTTGTAATATATGTACAGAGCCCCAATATAAACCATGGAAATATTGTATATGGCGGGGGGGGGGGGGGGGGGGAGAGAGAGAGAGAGAGAGAGAGAGAGAAAGGGGCTGATTATTTTTAAAGGCCTAGATTTCTGTACTTTGCATTACTTCGGAAAAGGGCATTATAAAAATATATCTTCGTATTTTGCAATTTTAAGATACTTCGAACAGAAATCTTGGATATTTGTTAAACAAATAACACTGGATTCTGACTTTGCTTCTGGTGGGAGTATCTATTAAGCAGAATTATACTAGCAGAAGTGGGGTCAACATATGTCAATTCCTTCTTTCCCCAGTTACCCTCTCCAAGTTATATATTGTGATAGGTGGTGCTGGAGATTTTAGGAACATATTTCATTAAAGAAATCCTCAGCCTCATGGTGGATGGAAAAAGCCTTGATATTTATGGAAGGCAAAGCTAAGAGTCAATTTTTTTTAAAAAAAGAATCACATTGATAGATTTAATGCTTTTTTTGTTTTTCTTTTATAATTGAGGCTACATTTTTTCACAGCACCACCACAGGAATTTATAATTTAAAAATATATTTCTGAATAAGAATATGATTTATAAATATTATATGTAAGTTCAATTAGATTCTCACTTAAAACACTACTGAATTATAAAGGTATATTTAGTCTAAAACAGTATAGTAATATTACAAAGAGATTGATCTGATATGGAACAAAAACAAAAGGGATTTTCATATGTAACAATTTTTTTCAGAAAGAATAATTAGAGATTCAAATACATTTACAGGGTTTTAAAAAATTAGTTATTCTATTACATAACTTAACAAAGGCATTCACTTTGTACAGGCAGATATATTAATATATCTGTACAGGACTATTAATATTATCTTATTTTTTTCAAAAATGAATTCAAGCAATTTAATTGGCAGGGCCATATATATATAAATATCATAGTCAAAGGGCAAACATCTCAAGTACTTACAGTCATCCAAATCTAAGAGCGACACATCTTGTTTAGTAGTTTCCTTCTCTTTCAAGTGTTTCTGAAAAAAGTATATGAATATTTGATGCTTTTTATCACTGTGTAAAAACATTTGTGCTTTTATAAAAAATAAAATAAATAACCCTGTGGCCTCTGTTTTAACAAGCTTCATGGAATAAGAATTCATAAGTGCTGCAATCCCTTCAACACCACAACTGTAATATTATTTGCCTGAAACACTAGCACAATATTCTTACTGCAGCAGTATTACACCATAGCATTTTTTCAGCAGATCAATGTTCTGCATTAATCATATTGTTGTACTATAAGCTTTTTATTATGTTTTAAAAACAATTTATGATGGTTTTGGTCTAGTTTCAGTTTGGCTTATCACAGTCTTTTCTTTCCTACAACACTGAGATTGTTTATTTAGCATTCAGTTGATTTTCCTTCTGTAATATTAATACTCAAATTTCTCAATCCAGCACATTCCAAATATAGTGGACTAAAATTCGGAGGGTTCCAGATTGTGGATGGCCAGTCTGGTGATTCTCCATTTGAATATGTGAACAAATCAAATGAGAGCTAAAGCCAGATAACAGCAGGAATAAAATTTGATTTTTTGTTAGTCTCTATAAGCCTCAGAACTGAGATTTCATTAATCAAATATTCAAACTGAAAAAACAGCCTAGAAGAAGGCATAGGAAAACTGGATCTGTATTGCTGCCAAGAAAACTACATGGATGCATCTATGAAGTTAGCAGGAATCACATTACAGTTGAAGATTTTATCTTTACTGAACAATCAGATAGCAAAAGACCTAAAAATCCAGCAAAGAAGCAACCTGAAGTTAAGTCAGCCTACCAACATGTGAAAGGACAGGAAAAAACAAACAGGGATTTTTTTTTACTCTGAAATATTATCATCAAAAACTACAAAATTCACTACTTGCTATGGCATATATAACCAATATCTCAGTCTCCTTTGGGAAGGAGAGTGATATCTATAACAAAGGTAGAAAGACACATTTAAAAATGAATCAATTATCCCCTAGATTACACTATATCATAAGAGTATTCTTCTCGTGTGAGAATGTGGTGCCTTGTCATTGCTTGCCATGGATTCTGGCACAGTTTGCTTAACAAAGTTGTAACCTATTTGAGTTGTTACAATACAATATACAGTATATCGGGAATAGGTAGCCTGTTTCCTCCAGGGGTCACCCCTTTTCTGATGAGATGGCAGAGGAAATCCACTGCTGTTTCTAGCTAGGGTATAACTGCTAAATGTTGTAAATGAAATCCAAAACCACCATCAATATATCTTTGCATAAAAATGAAATCTACAGAATTCAGTAAATGTAATCACCTGCTCTTTACTGGCAATCATGAATGATCTGCATGTCCAAACTTATATATCTCAAGAACTTGTCCCAGTTGTCTATATATCGCAAATTTAAGTGCAATGACTCCTATTTCTGGGAGTACATGGAAGTGATTCTCCCATCATCTCTGCTCATCCCACCAGATCTAGCAAGGAGGGCACGCTCTGCATCCTTTCCATTAAACAATGTAATCTTATTGGATGCAGGAGTTACTCCTTCTCTGTGGCAATGCCTTCCCTGTGGAACAGCATCCCTCCAGAAATCCGGTTGGCCTTGACCCTGTTAGACTTTCATAAGGCATTGAAGACCTGGCTGTTCCCCCAGGTGTTTGGGCCAGGAATTTAGGTGAACTCTCCTGGTAATGCTGCTTTTATAAACTGGGTCTATTATTAAAACTTGGGCATTGTGGTTTAGATGGTGAAGTGTTGTATGCTGCCCAGAGTTACTGTGTGAAGTGGGCGGCCATATAAATCAATAAATCAAGTTCTTTCTACTGCTATCATAAGTATTAAAATTAAATAACTGGCTTCCAAGGTAACATTTTCTAATCCCTGTAGTATAAGTTCACTTTGCGAAACATACTGACTCAAGTTTAGCTAAGTAGTGACTAAATTTCAGTAAAAGCAAAAAGACTTAATTACAATTTAAGTTATATAATTGGTTTGAATGTGGGTATCATGGAACAGCCTTAGGATTAATCTTGGGCTTGTTTGTTTTTGATCCACTCTGAAACATGAAAGTTATAATTAATTATGACTGAATTCATAAAACTGCATACACAATAAAAAACATTCTGGAAACCAGTTAATATATATTATTTAATTAAAAGCACATGTATGTATCCATCACTTTATTCTTTTGGGTTAAGCAATGATATGCAGAACCCAGAAAAGGAGAAAGAAATAGCCAAAGAAATTAAAGGCATGAGATAAGAGAAAGAGAAAGAGAAAGAAGCATACAGGTAGTCCTTAGTGACCACAATTGGAGCCGGAACCTGGTCGTTAAGCGAAGTGGTCGCTAAGTGAAACCACAACTGTGCTTATGATCTTACTTCAGCTTTCCTTTGGCTTACAGGCCTGCAAAGGTCATAAATGCGAAGATTGGTCATAAAGTTACTTTTTTATCATTGTTGTAACTGCGAATGGTTGCTAAACAAGGCAGTTGCTAAACAAGGACTATCTATAGTTCAATCTAGTTTACACCAAACTATTCAGTGTATTTCTCCATGCTTTCAGTGTATTTCTCCTTGCTTCTACTATGTCCATACATTCTTTCGTACATTGTTTTTTGTTTGGGCTTCTTACTGCTCTCTTTTTCAGGATTTCATCAACTTCATCTAATGATGACTTTTTCTACTTCTTTTCAGCCCAGTTACTCTTCCTTCAAATATTTGTTTTACAATTCACTCATTCTCTCTGTATGACCAAACTACCCCAATGTTTTTTCATACTGGTCATACACTTTTGTATATAGTCCATATTTATTCAGCAACCATTCATTCTTGGCCTATCTCGTTTTATCATAAACACTTGTTATATACCCCATTCCCACTTAATTCAGCTTACTTTTATGTCTTTCCTGACATACCAAATTCTCACTCCCATATAACAAGATGAGCAGAAGCATGTTCTTATTTTAAGCTATTTTCATTTGTTTTGACAAACATTTATTCCTTACAACAGACCACATACTAGTCACTATCTCTCTATCAGTATTTTCAGGTCTTACAATTTTTCCAACCATCTTACTCCATCTTCTGTAAATACTATATGAAAGGGTAAAATACTGTGGAGTCCTTGGGGTTCTCTGAGCTTGGTTGTTTTCTTGCAAACGTTTCATTACC